GCCCATGGTACATTATTGAGAACTAAAGATATGTGAGTGCATTGAGGTTGTGCAAAAATGTTGTCACCGCAGCTCGTATAAATTGCACCGAAGTACCGCGGATAAATGCACTGAAATGCCACATAGAATGTCCCAAATGACCACATATATGTCCCGAAGGACAGCGTAGAAATGTTTCGAAGGACCACGTAGGATTGTCTCGAAGGACCGCGTAGAACACTCGACTCTTTACATGCCAATTATACCCTCAGATCTCATGTAAAATACTATGGGCTTTACCATTTACAACATATCTTATAACTTATTTCACATAGTCAAATAAACACGTAGGTCATATCTCATAGCTTATACCATTATTTCATGTAAACACGGATATCTTATCACATAACTTATATCTTATACTCTTTTATCCACATAGTTCATGTAACACATAAACTAACATAAAAATACATAACTCATGTATAACATTGCAAGTAACATATATAAATATGCATGCACTCAAATACAAATAGAAACTATATTAATCACATTTTAGTATTCATGCAATCAAGAAAGTAAAACATGGGAAACAAACTCATCGCGAGTCTAATTTCCATATAATCATTTGTCATAGTAATATGCAGTCACCTTAGCCTCACTTAGTCCAATCAACTCCTATAACTCTTTATCTCTCTCTTGATCAATCTTAACTCATCAACTGTTTCAGAACTTGCTTGTATTCGATATCTACACATATATACATTTGATATGAATATCAAAATTCTAAGCATTATGAATCGATCATCGATATCCTAAGCTAAAAGAAGTACTTAACTCAACTTTTCACTTTGAATAGTATCGGTACCCAAGGTATAGTACCGATACTTCCTTACTGTGGTATCGATACTATACTTCAGTATCGATACCCTTTTTCGGTTCTAGAATTCTACCTCAAAAATGGTATCGGTACTTACATAATGGTATCGGTACCCTTGGTATCGATACTACCCCTTCAGTATCGATACTCTTTAAAGAATTTATCTACTTTTGCTTTCTGGTATCGATATTGTTCATCTAGTATCAATACCCAACCCAAACATCACATACTTTTTGCTTTAGAATATCGGTACTGTTCATACTGTACCGATACCCATTGCCCATAAATCTCCTTTTCATTTCGAATTTTTACCAAACCTAGCCATAAACCTTACTTTTAACTCCTTTAAAAATCTTTAAACTATAGCATACTTGTTAAAATTAACTTACAACACTTTAACACTCTCTAACACCCAAAAATTCTCATAGAATGCTTAGAACCAAAAATCATACCAACTTATCAACATCGTTCTTAATCCTTCTAACACTTTAGATTTCTTATTCCAGCACATGACAAGTCAAATTTCATTTTAAAACTCATTTACGAACTTTTTCTTAACAATTCATTCAAAAATCCTTTATTCTTAATCATTCATAACTACTTCATCTTTTTGATTTTAAGAAATCTTAAGCTTTCCTTAAGCTTATGTTTCACTTAAGGAGCATAAAGCAACTCAAATTTCAAGCAATAACCAACTTATAAGAAACTCACCTTCTAAATTAGGGTTCACGGCTGAAGAAAGAAGGAGAAGAGAAATATATTTCAGATACATATTTCTTTCCCTCTTCTTTGCTTAAATATCTAGGAGAATATATTTTAAATTCTTTTTTTTCTAAAAGACCACTTTGGCCTTCTCTTATTGAATCTTTTCTATTCAATCCTACACAAATAAATTTCAATTAAGTCCCTAAACTTTTTAATTTATCTAATTTGGTCACAAAATTTTAAAATATTGTAATATGATCACTAACCCGATGTTTGGGATGTTACACTTATCCCGAATCTCAATGTCAAATTTCTAGAATAAAAGCACCCATCGAATCAAACGAGGTTTTGTATCGTTCTTAACGAATAAATACTTTAGCACTGAGTGATCAATACAAACAATCACATTCGTTCCCACAAGGTATGAATAAAATTTATCAAAAGCAAACACCACAACAAGCAACTCCTTTTTCATTATGGTGTAGTTAATCTGTGCTTTATTTAATGTCATACTTGCTTAATATATTGTGTGAAACATTTTATCCTTCCTTTGCCCCAACACTACTCTTATCGCGAAATCATTAGCATCACATATTAATCCAAAGGGAAAACTCCAATCTTGGGCTACAATAACAAGGGCATTCACTAGCTTCAACTTAATTATCTCAAAAGATTGAAGTACTTCATCGTCAACAACGAACTTCCTCTTTTGGTCCAGCAATGAGCATAATGGCTTAGCAATTTGAGAGAAATCTTTAATAAATCTTCTATATAAACCAGCATGACCAAGAAAGCTTTGAACTTCCTTCACATTAGTAGGTGGACAATTTCTCATTGACTTATTTTTTTCTTTATCCACTTCAATGCCACGGCATGAAATTCGATGCCCTAGCATTATGCCCTCAGTTAACATAAAATGGCATTTTTACCAATTCAAAACTAAGTATGTTTCCTTGTATCTTCTCAAAACTGCAACCAAATTGCTCAAACACTTGTCAAAGTACTGCCCAAACACTGAAAAATCATCCATAAAATCTTCAAGATAATCCTCAATCACATCAGAGAAAATGGCCATCATACATCGTTGGAATTTCATTGGAGCATTACAAAACCCAAATGGTATTCTACGAAAGGCAAAGGTTCCATACAGAAATGTAAAAGTTGTTTTCTACTGGTCTTATGGAGCTATAACAATTTGGTTATAACCACTATATCCATTAAAAAATAATAAAAAGCATTACTCGCAAGTCGATCTAACATTTGGTCTATGAAGGGCAATGTTCAGCTTCCTATAGTTCATATATATCCTCCAACCAGTAGTGGTTCTTGTCGCACTAATTCATTTTTATCATTTTTCACCACCGTAAATCCACCCACATTTGGAACGGATTGTACAAAACTAATCCAATTGATGTCTGAAATTGAGTATATGATCCCAACATCTAACCATTTAATAATCTACTTTTGAACCACTTTTTTCATGATTTGATTTAAACTCCGTTGATGTTCAATTGAGCTACTATTAGGATCTTCTAAAAGAATTTTGTGCAAGAAAAATGACGGACTAATGCCTTTTATATCAGCAATGCTCCATGAAATAGCTCTCTTATGTTGCTTCAACACATCAATCAATTGGGTCTCTCAATAGATGGCTTCGATGCTTCAATGATATGATTTTGTATTTGCAAAGGTTCTATGCTTTGGAGATACTTGTTACATCATTCGACTTCTTCATCCATCAATAATTCCTCAAATGCTTCGAAATCACATGGATTTGTAATTGTGCTATAGCATTCCTCCAAATTCTCACGTGAAAAAATGTCAATCACATCAAGTCAATATCAGTCAGCATTTTCATTGATGTAAGAAACATTATTCAAGAAATTAAAGGTAATATGTTCATCATTCAAAAGCATAATTAACTCTCTCTTTTCAACATCGATCAAAGCTCGGCTTGTAGCAAAGAATGGGCGGTCGAGAATAATTGGAACATCTTTATTTGCTTCACAATCTAAAATGATGAAGTATGTAGAAAAGATAAACTTGTCCACTTGTACAAGCATATTTTCTACAATACCACTAGGATGCACAGTGGAGCTATCAGCAAGTTGCAAAGTAACCTTAGTGGGCCTTGCTTTGCCACTCCCAAATTTCCTAAATATTGATAATGGCATTATATTTATGCTAGCACCCAAATCTTTTAAGGCTTTACCTACAAATGTCTTACCAATGTTACAAGGAATGGTGAAACTCCCTGGATCCTTAAGTTTGGTGCCAATTGACTTATAGCCATAATGTTATAGCCTTTAGTAAGAGTGACTGTCTCAAACTCATCAAGTTTTCATTTCTTTGAAATAACTTCCTTAATGAATTTGATATAATTCGGGTTTTGCTCTAAAGATTCAATCAATGGAATGTTAATTGTGAGTTGGCGAAGGACATCAATAAAAGTTTTTTATTGTTGATTTTTCATTGTATTCTTAAAGTGTTGTTGAATTGGTGAAGGCATTTTTTTATTATTGTTGTTGAGGCAATGAAATAGAGTCTGTATTAGATGCAATAGGGGTTGTTATCGGTAACGATTCTGAATTACTACTCTACCCTGCATCTGTTGATGGGAATTGACTCACATGTTATTAAGGCTCAACTTCTTAACTCTTCCCTTTTCGATGTTAATGAGCTTCCCCATTATTTCTCCTCGGTTCTTCATTTGGTTTGCCAATATCAATTCCACTTCTTGTGTTAATGTCTTTGCAATGATTCTTATCATTTTACTTTGGATTTTCATTGTCGCTAGAGAGCAATCATTGTAAGCGACTATTTAGAGCATTAGCCATTTGTCCCATCTGATTCTATATAGCCCTTAATGAACCATATTGGCCCACCATATACTATTTCATCATGGCTTTAAAAGGTGTTAAGGTTGGAGTTTGGTTCGAAGATTGGACCTGGTATTTTTGCCTTTGATGTGGTTGAGCAATAAATTACTTTGCTTGTGGCTACGACATTTGAATATGCTAAGTGTAATGTTACAACTGATATTGTTGATGCTATGGATTAGCAACATTATGACTTCTCCAAGAAAGATTGGGATATTTTTGAAATTCAGATTGTATGTATTTACAAAAGCATTATCATTCCTTGGATAATTCCACACATAGTAGATAGACTCTTGATTTTTGGGGCACTCATAAAAAATGTGATCATCGTCACAATATACACTAGTGATAAGAGATGAGACTTTGACTTCATACATTCCTCCAAGATTGTGCAATTTATTCACCATTACAGACAATCATTGTTGCAGATTCTTTCAAGAATATCATATGTTTCATTGCATGTCATATCCAGAAAAGATTTATTTGATGAGGTATCAACCACTATACGAGTGTGTATATTTAACCCATTATAAAACATATACATTTGAGTCCAATGTGGGAATCCATGCATAAGACATTTTCGTAGCAAATCTTTAAATCTTTCCCATGCTCCATACAAGCTTTCATCATCCATCTGCTTAAATGAAGACAAATGATTTTAAGCTTAGCATTCATATTCGATGGTTAAATTATAATAAGAACTTTTGCGCTAATTACAACACCTGGCGATAATAAACTTAACCAAACCCGTGCTTTATCACGTAATGAATAGGGAAATAGTTTCATCTTTAGGGCCCCTCCGGAATACCTTGTTGAATAAAAGAATCACAAACCTCCATAAAAGCTCACAATTGGGCTCTAAGATCTTCAATAATAGAACTTCTATACATTCCCAGAGATTGTAGTATTTGGAACATAACTGCCTTTAATTCGAATTTCGCAACATTAATAATTGGCCTCACAATGTATGGATTTAAATCATCCAATGTCGGCACCACATGTTCAGGAATTGGGAAATTTTGATCATCTACATTCTGATGTGGTTGCTCAGCCCCAATTTTAGATGGCAACTCCTCATTCTCTCTATTATGCAATGGGGCTAAAATACCATTCCCTCATCTAACCATAGTAGCTTCACGTTGACGTCTACAAAATGTTATTTTAATCTCTGGGTCAAACGTCTCTAAGTCGCTGTCACTTCGAGTATACACTAATAAAAACAGAAACTAAAAATACCTACAAAAAAAATACAAACAAGCAAAATTAGAAGAACTCTAAATCAAACTGATGCTCCTGAACAACGACGCCAAAAACTTTATGCTAAAAAAATGCTATAGCATTCAACGCAAGTGCATGTATCGTAAATCAAGTAATAAAGTGGAAACTATAATAGTTTCGGATGTCGAACCAGCATGGTGCAGAGTGTTGTCATTTCAATTTTTAACAGTAAGATATATCAAGGAAATGAGATGCTAAATACAGTGAATTGAAATCAACAATTGAAAAATACCAATTCATGCTACAACATTCTAGAAAACAATTTGTCATCTATCGAATCAAAGAATATGTTATTACGATTCCCAAATTTTATTAAAAAATAGTATACTTAATTTATGTGATCAACATTGATTAAGACCATTTGAACTACTTTAATAAATTTCATTAATTAAAGGCTCAAACTATTAACAATACCAATCCATTGGTTGCACACTTTTCAGTGTACCTGTGCTACTAAGCAACACCAATGCTCACACATGTATATAGCAATTCAAATGAAACTATTTCTAGATTAAAATGAAAATACTATATATTTAATTGCAAATATGTCTACTCACAATCATAAAGTTCAAGGCCCATAAATCAAGTATATAAGTAAACACGAAATAAGGAATCCATAATAAACATCTAATAAAATTTTATTAATTCAAATCAATCCCTCTCTCAATAGAAGGCATTGAACGATGATTTGCTAACCGCTGAAGCTTATCAGTAAGCTTATCTTATGTTGCAACAATCCCTGGTGAGGATTTAGGTGTTCATGGCTTGAGAAGAAAATAACATGGAAAATGGTACTTTGGATCTCTCACAATCGTCACACTTTTTGCACCCAAGTACTCCCATTTTATATCTTGAATGAGAATTTCATCACCCAATAAGAAAGATCCAAATTCCAGGTGTTATACAGCCACATGATAGCTACCCACGCTAGCTGTCCCAATCCAGAATGTTCTTCCAACCATATGAAGCTTAGAGGACCGCCACAACATCTAATTAGCATTTCCTGCAACACTATTGATGTAAGGCTATCCAAGCTTCTTCAATGATGGAGAAGTTGGTAGCCTTGTTGTTTCCCTATCCAGGAGAGACACCAAATGCTACAATTAAATTATAAGTATTCTGCACAAATAAAGAAAGAAATGGATAAGTAGAATGATAATTAAGAAAGGAAATGGAAATGATAAGAAGTGAAGTATAGAATGATTATCAAAGTGGGTTCCAGAAATGATGAATAAGTATCCTTCACTAGATCACGAATTAGCCTCTAATGATGTTGATGGATGTTTCTTAAATGATGAGTGAATGACGGCTTTAATGGTCAAGAAATGATAATGGAATGGTGATGGAGATGGCGTGAAGAAGATGATGATGGTGATGGTTTAAGTAGTATCTTAAATAAGCCAAAGAAAAAGAAAATTTATTGAAAGCTTATCCCCATTCTCTATAAACTTAAGTAAGGGGTGGTATGTTGGGACTTGAACCCTCTAGTTATAAGAACTAGGAACTTAAATTATCAAGGGAAGTGGTTGACGCCACAAACTTAGAAAGTTTGCTTAATCGATAAAGTTCTTAAAGAACTTGAAAGAGAGAATTTCTCACAAAGAGTTTATATTCAAAAAGGGTTGAGTTTGAAAATGAATAAGCCTTTCTATTTATAGGATTTGGAAGGGCTGGCCAAATAAATACATGCCTATTCGGCTAAATACATGACTTTAATTGAAAATGTATGATGCTTGGTTGAATAAATATGTCCTTGGCTGAATGAATATGTCCTTGGTTGAAAGGTCTCCTTGATGGTTCAGCTTGGCGCCAATTTGAAGAGTTATCTTGCTTTGGCCGAATAGAGAGGCATCCCTTGACTTTGGTGCCTAATTGTTCCACATGCATGGAACATGGGTGGGCTGGTCATGAGGCACTCACATGGGGGTCATAGGATGCTTGCTATGTGGGCTCGTCCATGGAATGAAGATAGGTAGCAATCTAGGCATGACTTGGCTTCCAACGTGAACCTATGTGACATGGAATCCAATGGGTAACAACTTGTCATGAAAGGTCACATTGTGTGTGAGATAACCTTTTATCAATTGAGATACTTCCCATTTGTATGATCTGAAGATGAGCTGGCCATAGATGAATGACATGTAGGTGAGTCTCTGGACAGCTCCTTGTGAAAGGGCACCTCTTGTAATGGCAACTCTTCGCGAAAAGACATGATTCCACAAATATTGAACTAGGCCATATTTGAAGTACTCTGTGTGATGGTGATGATGATGCAACTCTCCAGCTAAAATGAGATGTCTAGCTAGCTCAAAAGTCTAGGTCAAGTCAGCTATGAGCTCGGAGGGTAGCTGACAACTTTGTCCCAAATTGTTCTTGAGCTGTCCCGGAGTTCTCCTACTCATATTTCCGTAGCTATTTAGGCTCTAATGCAAGCTTAAGTTAGCTCCCATCATGTGGTCGCCTATGTACCTACAAAAGAAAGCATAATATAAGCTAAGTTCATGAACTATATTAATGTGTATGATAATAACTCATGCATCATATGATAATGAATGAATATTATTATTATTATAACTATATATTATATGCATGAATATCAATCATTGATACAACCATAGGACATAATGAATGAATGTACATGTTATGATAATTCAAGTATAGTCTAATATGCAAATGTATGCTCATAATAATATATAGTGCATAAATGAGTAAATATAATATAAAGTAAGGTAGAACTCCCTTATATTGAACTTGATGGATCTTCAATGATTGGAGTATGTCATCAAGAAAGTTGGTGCTAGACAGGATCACATCATCCTCCCCTTCTTTTAGGTGATTTGTCCTCAAATCGAATGGTAACTTATTCTTAGTGTCTTTCTGTTCAAACGTTGTTGATTTGTCTTGAACCTCCTTATCTTTTGGCACTCTAAAAGACACATTCTTTGGTCCTCCAAGGATCATGTCCTTTGATTGATGAGTTACAGCCTTAGGTTCTTGAAGAGTCACGTCCTTTAAGCCTTTATGATTCACGCCTCTTGGCTCTTTCCCTTGACAAGTTTTGTCCATTGAATCGTCCCGTAAATAAAAGAAAAATTTTGCATTTTCAAGGTTAGAATAATTGTCCTTAATCTTGCATCTTGATAACAAGCATTCTCGTATCAAGCACTTAGATGAATAAGCCCTTGTTTTCTGAATAGTTTCCTTCATGCTTGATGCTACTTTCCAAATGATAGCTTTTGAGTACAATGCTCGCATTATACTCATGAAATGGTTTAGTTCAATCAACCAATCAATCTTACAATGACAAAGGATTTTGCTATCAACGTTTGGTAGGATAATACCATGTATATGAATTGAATTCCTACAAATTGAATCAAAGATAGAATATGAAAAATTATAAAAAAAATAAATGGAAGTATCAAACCAAGATGGATGTTTAATGGGAGTTGGTTGTTGAATTCTTTTCATGATTGGCAATGCACTTGGAATGTCAACGAACACAACTCTTGGTACTTCAAGTGATGGTTCTTTTGGAACTTCAAATGGCATAACCTTTAAATGATCAAGAGACATGTTTTTGTGAATCACCAAAAGTCATGACTATTAGTTCTTCAAAAATCACATCTTTTAGTTTTCCAAAAGCCATGATTTTTGAATCGTCTCCTTGAAAAGATACGTCTTTTAAATTTCCCTACAAAACAAAAGGAAGGATAGGAGAAGGAGTAAGGTTAGATAAAATTGGTTCTTGATTCTCATTTTCTGCTCCAATTTTATTCCTCTCATTTTCAAGTCCAATGTTTTCTGAATCCACTCTCTTTTGTTCAACTTCAAAAAGCTTTTCTTCAATTGAATTTTCTTTCAAATGTTTTTCTACAAGTTGCTCCTTTATTGCTTCAATGCCTTTTCTCAAATGAGTTCGGTCTTCTTTCGCTTGACCAGGAAAAAGTGGAGTCAAAGTGAATTTCTTGCCATTATGGGTGATAGAATATCTGTTTGTAAACCCATCATTGATTGCTCGTTTGTCGAATTGCCACAGTCTTCCCAAAAGTATATTTCCAACATCCATTGGTACAACATCACAAAGAACTTCATCTTGGTATTTGCCAATTGAAAACGGAATGACAACTTGCTTTGTGACCTTTACTTCTCCTCCTTCATTAAACCATTGAAGTTTGTATGCAGGTGCTTAAATATCTTCAGGCCAAGCTTTTCTACCATAAGGGTACTAGCAACATTCGTACAACTTCCTCATTCGATGATCATGAAACAAACATCATTGTTTACATGACAACGAGTATGGAATATGTTTTCTCTTTGGTCATCTTCTAAGATTTGAGTGCTTAAAGCCTTTTTAACGACAAGCACTTGTTTTGAAGCTGTATGAAAAT